AGTTGGCATAGCCTATTTATTTAAATTATTGATACGTTATAGACCCCCCTGTCATGGCCATGGTGTTTGAATAGTGAACAGACACAGTGTATATTATATTGATGTTCAATCAATAGAATGACATCCAAATCAACAATCAAATACCAAACTGCCAGTATATTGATTTCATATTAACTGATAACAATGCGATAAAGACTTTCCGTTTCCGACATTGTAAAATTCTTTCGTTTTTATGCAGAAAGCTACAATATTTTTAGCTGGTAAAATCATAAGCAGTTTAGGACACACTATAGGTACGACCATGAGGGCGCTGTTCATACTCGGGATGCGATGACGTCATACGGGGTGGGATGACGTCACAATGGGTGCCCGTGCATGGATGAGCATAAATAATGACGTCACAATGGGAATTCGTGAATAAATTAGCATAAATGAGCGTCCATGACCGTAAAGGGGATAATTTTAATGAGGATGACGTCACAATGGGATATTGTGAATACATTTGCATACATAAAATAGATTTGAATACGAGGTCGTGTCAAGGTCATCGTGAATACATTTGCATAAATTACCATAATTTTTTTTTTAATATTTTTTTTTTTTTTATTTAATTATTATTTTTTAATTGAATGTTTTTTTTTAATTTTTAATTGGACGGGCGTGGACGTCACGAAAGATTTTTCAGAATGTATTGTAGAGGGCGCTCTCTCTCTCTCTCTCTCTCACACACACACACACACACTAATCAATACACGTAATTTTGAAAACTAACGGAGTTTATTACATTTATTGCACAAAAGAAGTAAACAAGAATGAAATGACATGGAGTATATATTTATGGCATGGTTGAGTATTTTTTTAATGTAAAAAAAAACATACGATGCGAGTAAGGATAATAGTTGCGTAGTGTATAAATGTTTAGCGTGATTAAATATTTCTTAATACCTCGAAAAATACGTAGATACATGTAAATGTGTGGCGTGGTTAAATTTATATTTAACGCCACGAAAAATACGAGTACATAAACGATTCGATTAAAAACACAGAAGAGTAAAAAGTCAACAGTGAACAATCAAAAATAATTAATTCTATATATACATATGTTGTTCATTGTTTATATTTCTTACATATTTGCTTTTTTTTCGAGTAAATTATTTTTAACGGCACGAAAAAAATATGAGTACATAAACGATTCGATTAAAACACAGAAAAGTGAAACGTCAATAATAGTAAACAGTGAAAAATAAATAATAATTCATTCTATATATACATATGTTGTTTATTTTTTACATTTCTTACTTCCTTTCAATGAGGCAAGCAGTCGGTACACTTTTTTTTCCTATTCCATCCCTCTAATCAGAATCGATCATCTGTCATAGAAGAAAAAAAAAGAAAGAGAGAATAATATTAAAAACCGATAGTTACATAAAAAGGGTTATGTGTTGGAAATTATGAGTCACCTCGTAAAATTGCGGTCTTAAACAGCTAAAATGCAAAGTATGCAAAATCGGTTGATCGACCTACAGTTTGGTTTTTCAAAAAAATGGCGGACTGTGCTACTATGAGTTAAAATATATATTTACCTGATTGTTTCACAGAATAACTTTGACATACAGTTTGGTTTTCAAAAAAATGGCGGACTATGCTACTATGAGTTAAAATATATATTTACCTGATCGTTTCACAGAATAACTTTGACATACATAATCATGAGTTTACGTTTTAGCGTAGCGATTTTCGTTTTCCCTTGGCGAAAAAGATCTACGAAA